TCTTGGTGCCCTTCTTTCGCAGAGGTTATGGCGCGGCGCCAATTTTTATTCCTTTATCATCACCATGAATGATTTGTTTTTAAGTATACACACTGCTGGGTGACTAGTATATCATTTAGTGTCCTGTTTTGTGTCCACGGAGTGGTACCATTTATCTTCGTCAGATGGATGAAAGAGGAGTGATCAGATCGCCGCTCGAATTCAAGTTCTCATGGAGTCCAGCGCTTTACCAACTTAACTACTTTTATCTAGAAGCGAGGGTGCGATGTTATAGCTCCCGATTAACCCAGTGTTGTTTTTGTCAGTTACGCGCTTATTAACGCAGTTCCGGCGAATGAAACCGTGTTCACATTGCACTAAAAATAGAGCTTCATTGTAGCAAACATATGCAAGATATATAACTTCTGATGATAAGTCGCTTCATATCAAAAATTGCTGCATGAGTCTGCTTTTTTCCAATAGAATTACATGCATTCCATTCATTTCACGCATTCGTTTAGCATCTGCAGTGTGCTTCCATAAACATGCACAAGGCCAGTAGCGTCTGTTTTATTAGTTTGTTGTTTTTATTGTTGTGGTTATCACCTTGAGCTGTAAGCAGAACCCTTTTTTGTGACGTTTTTTTTTGCGTTTTCTGCTTTTCAGCTTTTGTTGTAAGCCACTGGTGCTGCGATGTATAAGGAATGGTTCCTCTCCGAATGCTAAACTGCCAAGTTTGTTCATCCATGTTGCTTCTGGCCTCCTGGCTGATGTCTGTCATGCTTTGATTCTCGCATTAAATACCCTCTGCCTGGATTGATGGGTTTATGCTCAACCAATTTGTCTAATAGAACTGATCTCTTTTTTACTCTTTACATGTACTGAGGATACATATGCCATATTTTTTAAAACCTTTGCATAGGTGAGTACGTTCTTTTTGAAGAAGTCACAAACTAAAAGCGTCAAAATGAAGCAGTCACTTCGTAGGTTTAATGTATAAAATGGAACATTGGGTGCAGAACAAATCAAGTGAATCATGTGATTTGTATGCGAAGATAGTGTGAAATAGGCATTTTATGACAATGATGGATTGCTTTTGTATCAGTCTTAAAACCTAACGCCTACTGCGTGCAGCGCCATCGAGTTCATATACTGCTATGTTCATAAAGTTGTTTTATTTTTTCAGGCTGAGCTTGTGCGATCAGCATTTTGATCAGTTACGCTGCATCACACATCTCTTAACCTGTGTTGAAGGTTTAAAAAAAAATTCATGCAGGAAACTCTGATATTTCATTAGACTATTCTGTTTCTCTTAAAGTGCCTATTCCACCTGTCAGCGCTGTACTTCAAAATTGCCTCGTTGTTGAGTTTTAATGAACGAGGTTTCATTGTATTTAAATGGTGTTGAATTAGAGACTGATTTCATTCTGCTGATTGTTTGCTAGTAACTGATAGCATTAAATGAATTCTGTTTCACTATTGTCGCAACACGTCTGAAGTGGTACTAAATAGATGAAACCGAATATGAATACAGCGGAAGCGAAGATGAGGGTGAAAATGTTCGGCAGCAAAAGCCGCCAGATTTTGTCAAGGAAGGATTGTCGAGGTAGAATACGACTCCTGCGGTTGCAGCTGCGTTATGCGTCTACTTTACTTCGTTTAGTTCGGCTTTGGCGATGCATGACGACAACACCCTGCGAAAGCATTTTCTTAAACTGCAAGAAGGTCGCTCGGTGTTCGAATCGTCCGGTCCGCAGTCAGTGAAAAGCCAAGCTCAGCCCCCTTCTGGACCCCCGTCATCGAAGCATGTACCGTTTGCTCATCGTAACATTGGTCCGGTCATCGCCGCTCCTTCCGGAGGACCCGCGTTGCCTAGAAACCGGCTACAGCACATCGGTAGGTCAATGGATTAAATGTCATTCGTGTGACCGTTGTAGGACATGCTTATACTCTGATTCTCGTCCGTAAGTGGCGAAATGGCTGAATTGAGAGATTTAGCGAATGAAATTTCGAGGGCGATCAATAGTTTTTAATAAAAAAATTAATTTTTCGGGAAGGTCAGTGTGTTTTTTCCTCCGATCGCAACACAGTAACACAGTGGATCAGATCCATATTCTCCGTTGCTTGCTAAAAGTGCTGCAAGTATGTGGTGGAGGTACAATAATTGCTTCGTAGACATAGAAATAGTTTACGAAAGAATGTACTAGTCGAAGCTGTGGAGAAGTGAGGTGGACAACCAACTGTTGGGATAGCCATTCTGCTTACAAGTACTCCTGGTCTCTGTCCTAATTAGCGACAAGAATATGAGAGGTGTTGCCTTTCGGGTGTTGGGTTCCGTCAAAGATATATTGTTTTCCTTTTGTTCATTGCATGTATAAGTTGGGGCACCAGTCCCATCTTTAGATGCAAAGAACGTCACAATTTTAGGTTGTTCGCATGAGTCCGTTTTTGTTCCCACATGATCTCATCGTGTAGGCATTCCATTCCGTGCTGTCTTACAGTGTGCACCTGATCAGTTCTCTGTCACATGCAACTAGGCTGAGATTTACACCGCCTGGCCTTGATAGAGTCTTGTATTCTTGAGAAAAAGCATTTAATGTCCAACCAGTTTGAGTGCAGCTTACACTGTTGAAGGTAGGCAGAAAGGGAAAATATACATGCAGTTCAGTGAAGCGCGTGCAGTAATACGACAGCCTGACCGGTCAGCGGTAATGAAATGAGTTCAGCCTTAATGCAAATCTTAATGTTTTTCTAGTCACCTATCCTTACTCGTGTTTATAAGGCCGGATGCTGACTGAGCAAGTGCGGTGCGGTCCTAGCTGCAGTCGGTGGTAATGAGGTTCCTTGGATGGATAGCTGCTGGCATGACGAGGCTTGACAAGCTTTAGAACCCGTAAGCTGAAAACAAGATCGATAGATTAGAATTGTGTCTGGACACGTCATCAGGATGATAAGGGAACTCATCACAGACTCTCTTGACAAAGCCACATGGAATACTGCCAGTGGGTAGTATGAGGTTCGTTGACGTTTGTCGGCGATCTGCCACCTGTTTTTTCATTACCAGTACTACGTAACTCTTGCCTAAGGTAATTCTCGGTTTCTTTACTGTAGGTTTGGCCATACCTGCACCCAATAAGTGTACAGCGGTAATGTATGGATAAGAAAATTGGTGTATTAGTTATTTTGAATTTTTCAACATTTTTGAACTGTCGCTGAAGTTTGGGCACTTCGTAGAGACGGCAGCACACGCGCACGCAAGTTAAGGTGCAAATTATATGTCTTTGTGAGAAGTGTGCATCTAAAAATTTTCATTGTAATTGTATCATATATCAATGTTCTTAAATTTAGAGGTGCGACATCGGCAACCACTACCGCACAACCAGCCACACCTGCGGGAAAGACCTCACTCGCATCACCACCCATCTCCTGCCAGGACAGTGAATCAGTCTCCTGGACAACTGAATCATAACATATCTTCTTCGTCCACTTCCCCTTTATTTACTGCCAATAATTCTGAATTCGAAGGTGCTTCCGTCACAGCAAACATGCCTGCCAATATACCGCATAACTTAGTTAGTAATCAGCAGCATCGATCTCGTCCACTTCTTCCAGGACATTCTCAAGGTGCGGCCGCCGCATACCTGCAACCAAAACGAAAGCATTCAGCGCCCGTACTGAATCGAAGACCTGACGTGCGTCTGCGTGATGTTAGTTGATTGATGAGCGACGAGTTCGTCCTGTTATTCTTTTAGGATCTTGATTTGCTCGCTGCCGAATTGTCTCAGATGGGCGCTCACAAATCGTCTGCGCTCCCAGGCGATCAGAATTCTAGTCAGATTACTGTGCTAGACGATTCACCTCCTCTGCCGCCACCCAGAGAATCGTCAATTTCTGTGCCGAATGGTGCCATGAGCAAAGAGTTAGAAGATGAGTTAGAGTCACCGGTGCACAACGACGGAACTCTATCTGCGTCTGAACCTCCGCGTCCATTGTAACAGCCTCTGTGTGACCGCTGTTTCCGTGTGCTCATTGCCATTTCTTATTTTAGACCGGAGTACGAGGCTGGTGACGTTGCCAGCGAAGCTACTCACGCGTCGACTTCCGAACTGAATTCGCCTGAAAGCCAGGTTATGGAGTTCATCCATAACAACAACAAGCCGTTGCCACCAACTCCTACTGATAGTTCGCCGGGTGAAGACGGGGGCACGATGGTGATGCGGTGCAACTCCAACAAGGATGGTAAGGTGAAGCGCTTTTCACAGGATCTGGATATCAAACATGGCCAGTTTTCTCGAATAACGCATCCTAAAATCAACAC